TTGGGGGAATTTTTTCAGATAAAATAGAGGAACTGTATATTAGACCTAGGTTGAATGAACGGTCTAAAGAAAGGACCTAATTTGGATAATTGGTAAAATTTATATGTGAAATGTGTATCATATTATTAAAAAGTTGAGTACTCGTGCTGGGTATGGTGGTGCATGCTTTTAATCCCAGCACTTGGGAGGCAGAGGCAGATCTCTGTGAGACTGAAGCTAGCCTGGTCTCCATGGCGAGTTCCAGGCCAGCTTGGCCTACAAGGAGACTGTCTAAAAGTTTGTTTTTAATGAGTATCCCTTATCCAAAATTCTTGAGATCAAGACTTCTTAAAATTTCAGGGTCTTTAAAAATATTTTATTTATTATTATGTTATGTTTATGAATGTATCACCCGTTTGTAAGTACATTCATGTCTTTCAATGTCCACGGAGGTCAGAAAAGGGCAATGAATCCCCTGGAACTGGAGTTACAGACAGTTGTTAGCTGTCATGTGGGTGTTGGGAACTGGACCCTAGTCCTCTGCAAGAGCAGCCAGCGTTCTTAACCACTGAACCATCTCTCCAGTCCACAAATTTCAGAGTTGTTTTAGATTTTACAATATTTGAAAACTTTACTAGTTTACTAGTAAAGTGTTCCTAATCCAAAAATTCAAAAGTAGAAATGCTCAATTCCCTTTTTAGGCATTATGGTACTCAAAAGGACTCTATAGGCCATATAACACATATTAAGAGAGTACATTAAATTGGGCAGAGGGAAGTGGGAGGAGGTGCAGAAAAAGAAGAGGAATCTGAATATTAAACTATATTGCATGAAAATCACAAAAATTAAAGTTTTGGATTTTGGAATACTTCCAATTTCAGATTAGAAGTATTCAATCTGGGTATTAGTGCTAGATTTTATGATATTGATCATTACAGTGTCAGCTTTTGATATTCACAGATTTCAATGCTGGATTTAACGAACCACAGACTGAAAATACTCAAAAAAAAAAAAGTATCTGTACTAAATATTGTATTCCTTACCTCTAGTCCCTGAACAACAGAGCATAACTATTTACACAGCATTTACATTGTATTAGGTATTATGTAACTCAAATCATTTAAATTGATTTTCAACAAGGGTAGTAACACCATCCAGGGAGAACAGAAGTGTCTTTGCAAATGGTACTGGGACAACTGGGAGTTATGCAGGAAAGGACCCCACCTCACATGCAAATTCTAACTCACAATGAATCATAGGCTTATATAAGCTGAAACTCTTTAAAGAAAATAGAACACTTTTTGTGACATTGGGGTAAGAACACAGAAAGCAAAAATAAAGCTATCAATGGGTCTTCATCTAACTAAACTGTAGTGCCTTAAAGATTCTTTTTAAAAAGTGAAAAAATAACCTTCAGAATGGGAGAAAATGTTTTAAAAACCATGTATCTGAAAAGGGACTTATATCCAGACTAGATGAATAACTTACAGCAAATATGTAGTTTAAAAGTATATGGGAGGTTGTATATAGGTCATACACAAAAATGAGCCCATTTTATACATGGCATGCTTAAGCATCCATGGATTTTAGGATCCAGAGGTCCAGGATTTTAGGCTCCTGGAACCAATGCCCAAAGACACTGAGTGGGAATATTGTTATCATGTAAGAAAACAGCCTTGTTCCTAAGAAACACTGCAGTTTCTGGAGGTAAAATATCATTATATGTACAAATTATTTTCAAATGGTTCAACAAAAAAAATCTAATAACATCAGGTAATATATTGAAAGATAAACTAGATATGAGCAAAATGTTACTAAGTGCAGAACAAAAGGCATATAAGTATCCATTACATCACAGTTGAAACTTTCCAACCAGATAGAAACATTTCCAAATAGGAAGACAGCTGCACTGTAGAGAAAGCAGCTATTCCTCAACAGCGTTGGACAGGCAGCAGTCTACCCTCTTCAGACCACCTCTTGTCCTGGGAAACACTGCACCTGTCCAGGCAACTCACACCTTATGATATATGAGGCCCAAAGATAAACTCTGTGGTACTCAACCAAATGGGCCATGGACCAGCCATGTCTCTGCCACAAATAAGATCATCCTTCTCTGAAATAACATCTTTTCAGATATTTGAGGGGTTTTTTGGGTTTTTTTTATTTGTGTGTGTGTGTGTGTGCGCGCGCGTGCGTGTGCGTACGTGCCTCCATTTCCTGCCTCTGTGTGCATTATCCTATGACCTGGTTTTTCTGGTCTATCTATTATCATGGTAGGTTCTTCTCTGCATTTCCTGAAGTCTGTAAATGGTATTATATTTGGGTAAGGTGATCTCATTAGAACAGAATCACTCAATTAAGTCTATTATTTCAACTTCCCAGGCTAGGACCACATGAGCTGACAAATCACATTACCTGCAAAGTCAACTAAGCTCTTGTCTTTGCACAGCTTGGGTTTCAGAAGAGCCTTAGAGCATGTCTTTGCAATTCCCCTCATTAAATGTCAACTTGTCAGACTAACCTAACATTTCAGTCTGTCAGGAAAACCTCAGTTCTGGGTTCTCATCTTTGGTGATACATTAAAATGAAAGGACAGGATCAAAGACAGTTATTTCACCTTTTCAATTAGATCAAGATGGATTAATGGGCAGAGACCATATCCAGGATGTTCCACAAGTCCTAAAATGGCATGACACAGGGACTGACAGAAGATGCTAAGTGTTGATTTGCTTATTCACTGAAATCAGGTCATTTTAAGTGCAGGAACAAAGTAAGACACCCATCTAAAGATGTCTGACAAAAAAGTTAGCCTCAAAGAACAGCTAGAGAAGGTGGGTAGATGTGATCAGTGAGTGGAATGTATGGATGCACAGAAACATCATGCTGACCCCACTAGTATATACAGTGTTGATTTTTAAATAAAATGGTTAACAAGTAGGCATTATTTTGTAACTACAGAATAAGCCAGAAAGTGCAGTTCTCTAAGCCAATTGGAAAGGTGTCAAAAGCAGAACCATGGTTTTCACATGTAGGAAAATACTAATAATTAAAATTACAAAAGTAACACCCCTTAAATACAAAGTCATATATCCTTCTTTAAATTAAAAGAAAAACGCAGAACATGTGTGAAGCTGCAACTTTATTCTGAGTCCTCATCTGTCAAGTAGATATTATCTATCTCCCCACGCTATGTCAAAGCCCTGGTTAAGAGACTAATTCTTCCTGTTCCCTAAGAGTTTCCCAGTATAAGTAGAGGAAGGTTTTTGTTTTAAACTATTGTAGAGAAATGTCTATAAGTATCAAAGGCCCATACTGTCTCCTTAATTGAAATTTAGTATTTGATGTTCATAGCAATTAAGCTGATCCATCAAGAAATTGTTGCCTATTGCACTACAATGTCCTCAGGAAGATAGTCCTGGCTGGCTCTATCTTCCAACTATCAAATAGTGCCCAATGGCTACACTTCCAACAGTTTCTCTGTCCTGTATTTCCATACTTTTTCATCATCATATTTAGCAGTTTATCAGGCACATGCCCCGTCTTTAATTTTCTACTTTTCATTTTGTTGTATATTTGAAAACTTTTTTAAAACTTATGATAATTATTTATAACCAGAGGTTTCAAGTTAGACATGAGTGTTACAGTTTGGGTGTGAAATGTTTCTCACAGGTTCCTGTGTCTGAATATTTGGTCCATAGCTGGTGACTTATTTAGAGAGGTTGTAGAACTTTTGACAGGCAGGACCTACCAGAGGAAAATGAGTAGTTGAGGGGTGGGCCTTGAGGTTCACAGCCCTGCCCCACTTCCAGTCTACTCACTGCTTCCTGTTTCTCCAAGACACAAAGTCCCACTCACATGCTCCAATTACTGTGGAGCCATGTGTCTCCATGCCTTCCTGCCATAACAGACTGGATCCCCTTCAACTGAGAGCCAAAATAAACCATGAGGTTACTTTTGTCAGTGATTCTGCCACAGCAACAAGGAACTGAGTGGAGAAACATTCCAAAAATGAGTCTGAACAATGATTTTGCAATGACTATTTATGTTAAGATCCATATTTACCTTCAAGCATGTTTCTAATTTCTTTGTCATGAGTGGCTTCCTTTGCTGTCTGTCCACTCCCATTTACAACAGTAGTATCAGCATTGTATTCTAAAAGAAGCATCACCAACTCCTAAAAACACAGAAATTTTTAGCTATTAGACTACTACTTTTTGTATAACACTTTTTCCAAATTACTGATTTTTAAATAATTTCTAAAAATAGAAAATTATATAACAATCTTCCTATCAAATTATGTCTAAAATACATGATTCAGATAATTCTGCTAATAACAGATAACTGCTTAAACAATTCCCAATCCACAATCAATATACAGCCAACTTCTGTAATTGACTTTTCAAAGTAAATTTTCTGGCTGCTTTATAAAAATAACCCATGATCAAACTAAATATGTAGCAAAAACAGCCATAATTTACAGAGCATACAGTGTGTCCATCTAGTCTTCTAAAGGCCTGATGAGAAAACAATTTCTACAATGCCTGTATTTTTAAAAATTAATTCTGACATTTATGGAAAGTAGAGCAAATATCTTCTAAAGTGATGCAGACCAACAGGACATATCATACTGAAGGAATTGCTTATACTGAAGCAAACCATTTCCTAAAGTCAATATCCAACAAACGAGAGCATTGTTCAAGTTGCTCTTGGTGGCTAACTTCTCTTTTAAAGAGTTTCAGAATGATTGGTAATGTAGTAATACATGAGTCCAGGATCAATAGATCAGCTTTCAACCTAAGATAGCACACATGGAGAAGAATCCAGATAACAGCAATGTGACTTTTATCCGAAGATGTACAGCACCCAGCATGGCAATACTTGGTTTTCAGCTCTACACTAAGTACTATTCTAACAACTAAACTGATGATCCCCGGAAAACAGGAAGAGAGATCCTGTCAGATTTCCCTGGGAGTTTTATCTTTGCTTTAACTCATAAAATTTCCTACATTTAAAAACATTTCTAAAAATGTTTAAACAACAACTATAAAACAAGCAAAAATATAGTTACTACCTTAATCACTATATAACCACCATCAACATTTTGGCCTAGGTCTTTCTCATCATTTTTCCTCTGAATAAATTTGACGTTTTGCTTTGAAGAGACAGGGCCTCCCTACATAGCCCTGGCTGGCCCCAAATGATCCTCTTGCCTTGTTTTTGTGAGTGGACAGGACCATAGGAGCATACCACCACACTCCACTCAAGGATGAGATTGGTTTTAACATAATTTGACCTGTATGGCTTCACTTTTGTGCTGTAGGCCTTTCACCTACTATGTATTTTCTGGCATATTATAGTGTTTCAAATGCATTTGGCATGACTGGATATTATTGTATAAAATGCAGTTTTGGTTGTGGTTTTTTTTTTTTTCTTCCCAGCACTGGAAATTGAGCCAGGGCTTTATACATGTTAGGCAAGCACTCTACAGCTGAGCTATGCTGTTAGTCCCATAACAACGCATTTTAAAAATAGGGAAATCCCCTTTTGGAAACTTACTAATATTTTAATAAAGAGAATTTTCATAAGATATTTTAGAATTTCATATAGTCTTAAAGGTAACCTAACCTTTTAAGATAAATATTTTCATGTTTTATAATATTTCATGTGAGAAAAGAGAAGCAGCTAAAGAATGGTGGAATTTATACATCACATATCTGAAAAGAGATTTGTACATAGACTATAAAGAATTTTAGCAAGTCAGCAACAACAATCCAATTTTTAAATGGGCAATGAGCAGAGTATCGTGACTCGTTCATGTAAACCCAACACTCAGGAGGCTGAGGCGTAAGGACAGTGAGTTCAAGGCCAGCTTGGGCTATACAGCAATTCCTTGCCTCAAAAACCAAAATAATTTTTTTAAGTAAATAAAATGGTCATGATAACACTGAACAGTCTGAAAAGGAATTTAGTCGGAGGCCCCACCTCAGGCTTCTTGAATCAGAATCTCCAGGTCTACTCAGCCATCTAACCTGTAAGAATCAGGAGGGGGATGGGAGCTCTCAGAAACAGGCTATCCCAAGACTCAGAATTAGAAAGCCAGAAGGCAACCCAGAGGACTGGTGGCTGTACTTCACCCCACAGATATCAAACAGACCCCAAACAGGCAAGTCATGGGCAGTTTTTAATGTCCCAGTGGCTTTCATTTTCAAGAGACTGCAAAGTAGCCAAGGAGTCTTCCCTTGCCCCAATTCCTGCCTTTTGTAACACATGCACAGATACGGAACAGTTAGCGACCATCCTCCTCGAGTCCTGAGGAGTCCCTGGTGCTTCAAGAAAGCCTAATTCTACTTACATTTCCCTAACAGGGAACTCCTTTCATCCACTGAGTATTCTGTTGTCTTCTAACCTTTTAGTATCTCCAACTCTTTTTTATGAATTATGTGCTTAATACTGTTCAAGGTCCTACAGAGAAAACACTCCTAGGTATCTAATACATAGGGTAATTAATACAAAGGAGAGTGGGCGTGTAGCTCAGTGGCTGAATTTGCCTATCATGTGTGAGACCTTGGGTTCACTCTCTAGCACTAGGGAGAAAAACTACAGCTAAGATTTGGCAAAGATGAGTCTGACAAAACTGGAGCTGAGATTATGATGCTCAGGGGGGCAACTCTGGTATAACATGAAAACGAGATAAGAAAAAGCTAGGAAAATGACTTGAAGGACAAAGTCAAGGTAAGAAGCAATGGGGTGTATTCCTAGGTGCAGATGGCAGAAAGGAATCACAGTGAAAACTATCCCCAGACTCTATGTAAATACTACACTGGGGTCGAGTGTGGAGGAAGACAAGTCCCTTCTTAAACACATGAGCCATGAGGACTGAAGGCTAGGGAAGAGGGCACAACAGGCAGCTGACAGTGAACCTGGGTAACTGCAGAAGCATGAGGTGAAGTTACAGCTTCCAAAGAATCCCCTAGGATGATCACATGAAACCAGAAAACACACGTTTTGAGAGGAAGTTTCCAGAGAAAAGGGGGTAAGAAACATGGAAGAATTCCTCTAACAAAAGAACCATCAAAACAGCCATAGAAGCAGAGGAGAGAACATGCAGAGTTCCTCCCAGAGAAGTGATCAGCTTTGTCAGATGTAGACATGAAAATAGAAATCTTAAAATTAGCAAGCCACGGACAGTCTTCTCCTAAGGAAGCCAGCTAAATGTTGGAGCCAAGAACCAGACTAAAAAGGATGGTAGGGAAGTTGAAAAAGTGTAGAAACATTTTAATCATATTTTTGAAAGCTCAGCGCCTAAGACAAACTCCTGTTCAGAGAAGGCTCAGTGCCCACTCTATGTAAAGAACATTTAGTTGCTTCCTAACTCCCATCCCTCTACTCCACCTACTTACTTTCCCAGCCTAACTTTCTATATCTAGTGTCTGTTCCCCTCTATGAGGGAAGGGATAGTCAATTTTGTTCCATGTACCTGAACAGTGGCTGCTTTTGAATATGTATTCTTAAACTGATACAGTAGGGGAAAAAAAAACAACTTAAAACTGTCCAAGAGCATCAGAATCTCTGGCCTAGATGAAGACCCAACTTTCCAGTTTTGCCAGATCACCTGGTCACAGGCCCACCCCTAGTAAGGTGGGTTCACCTTAAGTCATGCTGAAGAGATAGGTGAAATACCTAGTGTGTTCATGAGATGGTGAACGTTTCCTTCCCAGAATTCCCACCTCTCAGTGCAGTTCGTATGGACCTAAGTAGAGACATGAGGTCTCCTAAGTCTTGCTCACTTTCCCTCTCCTCCTCTTCGTATCTCTTTCCTAACCATGCTTTTCCTAAGGCTTTGGGCTGCTCCGACATCTTGTACTTCTTTTTCTCTAAAGTGCTCTTTCCTCCCCACCATGGGGCTGCCAGTTCTCCATGTGTCTGTCTGACCTCCATGACTGCTCTAAATGGACAGAGCTTCATGGCTTGTTGCCTTCTCCCCTCCATTTTCAAGGCAGCTGCCAAGATCTACAGCTTGCCTGCCCTGATGGTTTTTCTTTAAATTCTAATGAAGTCGTCCTAAAGTTTCCATTTGAGTCTATTCTTAAATTCTTTTATGAATGAGACCAAGGACCCTCTGGGGGGACCCTGGTGCTCCCCTGTATCAAAACAGTGATATATTAATATTGCTGACCAAGAAAGCACTTTGACCAATTTGTCAAATGTAGAGAAGCAAGACAAGGGAAAAGTGAACTTGGCTGGACACTCAAGTTCAGCTCATTTATAACTAAAACATTGTTAATACCCTCAGGGAAATGAGATTAACCAAGAATTGGATGTTACAAAATAGGGATATCAAGAATTCCTGAAAATTAAAGAAGAAAATATTCAATAGAAAGATTAGAAAACAAATTTGAAGACATCCTCCCCAAAACTAGGGGAAAGGAGGGTTAACAGGAACCATCTAAGTGAAAACAATAAGAAGATAGGAGACCATTTCTAGACATTTGTCATCCGACCTCTTAGGATTCCACAAGGAGAAAACTGAGTCATTTTGAAACAGAGGAAACTATTCTAAAGCCAAAGTGTGAGTTTCTTCTTTGAGAGGAGAATCTTAAAGTGGCCATCAAAAGTCCCAACCCCTGGTGTTCAACCGAGTACAATCTTTAGGACTGGAGACATGACTGATTTTACTTCTGTACTAAAGACATGCTACCCAGCACTCCTGACTTTAATAAGGGGAGAACTGTGCTATATGGACATATCCTACTTAAGGGAGCCCTCCAAGAGGACGGGAAAGCCAGGCGCTGTGGCTGCCACCCATAATCCCAGCACTTCCATGATTTCAAGGCCAGCACAAGCTACCTAGTAAGTTCTAGGCCACCCTGGAGTAAAGTATGAGACCCCCATGTTAAAAAAAAGTTGAGCAAGAGGGTTGGATACTTCCTGGGAAAAAGTGGAAGTGTGAGAGTCTCCACGGAGCTAAGCCCTCAGAATGATCTACATAAACTGAGAGAAATTCCCAACAAGCACAGACCTCCATCCTATGACTGCACTGAGCTCTGCCAACAACCTGAATGTGTTCCCAAGTATCTCCCAAGCCCCATAAGAGAACACAGTCCAGCTGACACCTAGATTTCAGTCTTGCATCAACCCTGAGCAGACAACACAGCTAGGCTATGCAGAGTTCTC